GGATTCCTGACAATAAACGTGATCTGAAAGATATTCCCAAGCGTGGAGTTAACTGGCTGCCCGAGCAGAACCTCATTGCCCGGGGCAGAACAGTATAAAATACTTCAAATTTATGCTGGAAATATGCATGACATGCATGGTTCATTTTATCATGCCTAATATACGGTACTTGTAAAAAAGCCATACATTTCTGGGTTCAAATACATAGAACAATACAACAAATTTTACAGATCAACATTCAACTGAAATCAGAAATTTTCTTGCTGGGATTAATGGACAGTCAAATAAAAAAGAGCCATGGAAGATAATTCTCATAAATGTTTACTGTTGTAACACTATTATATGTGCAAAAATGGAAATACTTTGAAATACCCACAATGGAGAAATGGTTGGTGAATATGACTGAATTAGCAGAGATGGCAAAATGAATTTGATTAAAGACCAACAATTACATTTATCAGTGACTGGAAACTCCTTATGCACTTTTGGCTGAAAGTAGAGAAAGATGAACTTGTGATTTATGGGTCTGAAGATTAGAAAGGGTGGTTTATGAAAGAAAGACATTATGATATAACCTTAGAAAACGTAAACTATAAATCCACTTATGACAGCTGTCAAAAAAATTGGATGCCGCTTCTATATAATCTTTTTCCTTTCTTCTTTTTAATGTTTCGTTAAATATTTTTTCTGATTTTCTTTCTAACATTCACCATGCTTTTTATTTTGTTAAAATTTCTTTTTATTGGATATTATTAGATAGTTGAGTGTCCAAATGACAAAGAATATGCATGCTCATTCTAGATCCAATTGTTCTCTGCTTAAGTGCATCTTTTCTCACCTTGCTTCTCACCTGCCCCCCTCCTTCTACTTTTATTTGCTGTTCATTTTGCTTTATTTTTCACTTATTAAGAGTTGGCTTGCTGCAATCTCTCAATCTTGAGCTGTAACCAGCTTTAACTGTGGTTTGAAAAAAAATCCAAGCATACCATCATATTTTTCTGTTTTCAAAGGTTTCACGTTTTTGAGATAATTGCATTTACAGTGGGCACAAAATCTAGCAAAGCAGTGGGATTCACTTACCTTCCCGGTTCACAAATGTGAGAGTGTGCATCTACCACCAGCTGGCCTCACCCTTTGGCCCCTGCCTCCCAGCAATTTGCTTCCTTGCAGCAAACAGCAAACAGCCTGGTCAGCTTCAACACAGCCTGATTTAGCACGAGCTGCTAATTTGTGGTTGGATTGGCCTCCTGGAATACCGCAATCAGCTGTTCCAGACTGTGGGGATCACTGCTGCCCATCGCCGCTCTCACTGCCTCCACACGTCCCATTTTGGGGCTCTGCACACCCCATTTTTGGCCTATGGACGCCCCATTTTCGGCCTCCCCACATCCAGTTTTTGGCTGTTCCAGGCGGCAGGGATAGCTGCCACATTCAGCGGCAATGGCAGTGGCGATCCCCACCACCTGGAATGGACCGAAAATGGGATGCCCAGAGACTGAAAACAGGGCGCATTGAGGCTGAAAATGGGGCACGTGGAAGTGGCGATGGTGATAGGTGGCGACAATCTCCACAGCCTGGGACAGCTGAATGCCGGTATTCTGGGAGGTCAATCCAATCACCAATCAGCTGCTTGTGCTAAATCAGGCTGTGCTGAAGCTGACCAGGCTGTTTGCTGTTTGCTGCAAGGAAGCAAATTGCCTGGCTCTTTCTCTGCACCTATATTGGGAGGGGGGGAATAGGGGGAATGCAAGCGGAGGCACAGGCCAAAGGGTGGAGACTGGCGGGTGGGTGAGGCTTTGGCAACATGTGTTTTATAAGATGCACAGACAATTCCACCCACTTTGGTGGTGGGGAAGTGTGTCTTATACACCGAAAAATATGGTGCATATTTTGCAAGTCTTATGCAGCCGCATTGAATGTTGTCTTTGATTGTCATTCATGTGCATGCATAAGCCATGCTTCCTACTGGAATTACCAGTAAAGAAAAAAAAACTGTTCCTTCATTTACATATAGAAACTTTCCAAAGCACCCTTTGGATGTCCTAAAGACATGGCTGTTTTAATGCTTCAAAGAGAGCTCCTTCATTTGCATTTCCATATGTCCACAGTACTTCTTTTGCATTCTTTGCACAGCTCTGGTTTTGCAGATATTTTTGATAGTCTGTATTCATGAAACATCTGGTCTGCCTTCTGTACATATCTTCAAATAAAATCTATTTGCTAGAATACTAGCCACTACCAGACTGATCTTTTACAGTATTGTTTGCTAATCTTAAAAATTAATCCAGCCAAGGCAAAGTTGAGACAGAGGAAAGGGTGAAGTCAGACTTCTTTCCCCAACCATCTCAATTTTGTGGAAAATTGGCTCAAACTCTACAGAATCCAATCAAGGTTTGCATTGCAAGTTTTTTTTTTAAGTCAACGGCATTCCACATACAGGTTTGTGAAACCATTTGGAAGTTATCCAAGAAACTGCCAGACAAAGTTCTCCAACAATTGAAAAGCACCTAAGTGCTTTGCCATTTGATCCATTTCAACTGGCTATAACAATTGTAGACTCTTTAGCTGGAAAGCCAAGAGAGAGCTTGATCTTTTGAGAGAAGGAAACTCAAAAGACATTTCTATAAAGTATCAGT